CCAACACGGCGGCACGTTGAAATTCAAGTTTGTCGTAGTCGTGGTTTCTAATTCATCACAATGTGTAAAAAAAGTAACTCGTACTAGTCGTAGAATTAAAAAAAAATCGGCTGCTACAATCAGCCGATTCTCGGTCAGAGGTCAGTTGAAGAGACGTTGTGATTGGCTTAGATGATTGTCAACTAGAACACTAATTAACATAATTACCCGTTGAAAAATCGACGGGTTCCTGCAGTGAGGATAGAGGGCCATGCAGAATAAACCAGTCGGGGTGATTTCGCAGTTACAAGGAATTTCGCGCTAACACCTCCATTTCGCGATTTTTTTAATTTTATTTAAACTACAAAAACAAATTAATCGCCCGACTGCGCCAGTCTAGTACACTGCTTGTGTAGTTGCAAAACTGAATTGTTATAAATCAATCATTCAAATATTTGTGTGTGATGATTTACATACATGCCAGTCATTTATATTTACAAAGTTTTTACAGAGAAGGATGTGTTTCCAAGCAAACACGTGGCAAATAATCTAAAAATCGGCCATTTTCGAAGATTTCTATAGGAATCCATGCAAACACATTATTCTATGAATAACTTACACTAATATACACAATTCTACGTAACAGTCGTATTAACCCTCACAACATTAAATATGATTTGTTCAGCATAGATCACCAAAGAAACATTTTTGATGTAATGTTTCTGCCATAAGAACAATTATAAACTACTCAAAACCCACAATTATAATCAATTTTCTGTTCAATTTATTCCAGAATTTTGAACATTACAGTAAACCCTAGTAGCGAACTACTTTAGCATGAATCTCAAACCATCGTCGTCTTTATCATATATCAGCAGCATAAAATATTTTAAATATCGGTTTTTAAATTCTTATGTGTTGCCTGGTAGGTTGATCGACAACACATTTAATATAATAATTGTTTGTTTTTTAGCATACGTGGGTCTTCATTGATACATTGCACTTCAAAACCCAGGCAGTATTTCTTTCTTTGACACATAAGGGGCACTTTTCCACTTTCAATCTGACTAGCAGCCATATTAGAGTATGCATTTTTATGTTAAAATTAATGGAGAATAAAGGATATCAAAAACGAAACACTGGTTCATGTTGTCAAAGAATCAAAAACAAATTTAAAAAAAGGCAGAAAAAATATCACTATGCACAGAATCGAATGCTAAACTAATGATGAAGAGAATCGAATAATATGGTAATACTGGGTACGGGTACTACATTACATTGAGACAGATTTTTTTCATATATTATATCTTCCCTGTCATTTCATTCAAGACAAATCAAAGCCGCTTTTTGAACAAGGACTGGCTGGGTGATTTAATATTGTTCAATGTGTCACTGATACATTCTCTTCTCATACCTGAAAAAATCATGTGAACAAATCAAAATAAAAGAATATATTTTGTTTTCGCCTAGAAATATGTAGTAATTCTTCATTTTTCGGTTAGGGTGGCATTCAATTTTAAAATTCTGAAACCAAGTGTAAGGGTAACGTATTGTTATTATGAAATTATTGTATCAAGAGCATTTCATATTAAGATAGTGATAACTTAATTTTATCAGTACCATATGTGCTGAATATTGACAATAATTAAAAAAGATGATACTGATATTGCTTTCAACCCAAATCAGTTGGGTAAAGTGTCTCACGAATACAGCACTTACATGACTCATTTCTGCCAACAGTGAGCTCTGAATATTTATATATTTATTGTGAGCGTATAGATTTGAATGGGCAATTATAAATAAATTATATATAAATTATAAATGCTCCGCTGTTAGCAATGTACATTTCAATTAAAGAACTGAAGATATCATTAGTAAATGAACAAACCTGAGAGTGGACTATCCAAGGTACCTACATGTATAATATAGCAATTTGACTTGCTGTTTTCAAGTCGAAAATAACACTTTTTACCAAAAATTACAAAAATATTCATTAAAATTAGAAAATCAAAGATATCATTACGAAATGAGCAAATTAAGAAGAGGCCTGCTCAACGTACATATACACTCAGTATCGAAGTAATAAGGATTGTATCTTTCAAGAAGAAGCCACGAAAATAAAAAGTTGACACGAACGACGCCGGACACCGACAGACAATCACTCATATAATAAGCTCTGCTCGAGAAAGTCGACAGCGGAGCTAATAAAATAAATAAAAAAAAACATAACTCCTCTATCGAAAGCACAAGTCAGAACTAATAATTCAATTAAATATTCTAAATCCAATCAAAGAAATATTTGGGGCATTAATGGGAATTGATACGTAAAATGTTCTAATTGATATATTAATATATCAACATATTAACTAATATATTGTGTTTTTAAGTAAGCTCTTGCGAGACATCTGGTAATTTTAGAATTATGTTTTCCGAATTAAATGTTTATGCAAGTTGGTAGCCCTCTTATGCAATGACCATATATGTGACCCTGAATGTTTTTGTTCTGGCTGCTATGATACAAGCACAATACACTTTAGTATGCCTATTGACATGTATAAATACATTAAAGATCTCTTAAAATGAGGCTCTGGTTTAATAGTTGTTTTTTGTGCTACATAATACATGTATAGAAATCATCTTGTTAAATTTGCTTTTTTCAGAGGCAGTTGAAGCCAAGAATCTCATAAGCCAAGTGTAATTGAAACTGATTTTATTTACAGCGATCAGGGGCAGACGACTAATTATTGCTCAATAATGTAGTGCGACCAAAATTATTAGCACAACTAGTACTAGTCTACTGGAAGTCCACCGAAAATTGAGACATTTTTTCCCATATATTAGTTCGTTTTAAAAGCTATATGTGTTTACAGAAATATATACAGAAATAGCATTGGAATGACAGGTATTTGTATTTACCCTGTTATCATGGCTCTAAGTATACTTACTATACAAAATGAACTACCACAAGAATTCCAGTCTTTGAAACTTGTAATAAAGCAGACTTTATCTATTTTTTAAATTTCATGCCCTACATGATTTGTGTTTCTCCCGATCAATTATTTAAGAGATATCACCACAAAATGCAGTTGATTGCAGAAAATACATATTAGTTGCAACAGAATCATAACGATCAAATATTGAATAATCATTATAGATCTGAAATAGTAGTGATTTGACGGACAATTATAGGTACGGTTGACAAACTTAGGTAGAGCTCGAACGAGTTACGTAAATAATAGCACATTCTTAATAGGGTCGCTTATGATGTTTATATTTTTAATCCTTAATGTATAATAGCGTATTAATAAGATGCGCTTTCATAACCTGGACATTTTAGATAACTTTTTGTAGAAATTATTTAAAATGTGTGTTCATTATTACAAATCGCACAACAATCTCAGACTACTTTAATTATATATCTGAATGGTTATGAAAAATAAAGCTCTCAGTTGGGAATGGTTGAACGTTGACACTT